AACCCTATACCATTTTAGACAAATGGTTGTCTAATGTTCCCCCCCCCAAGTCAAGTGATTGCATTTTGGGTGCTTGGCAACTGGTCCACATTTATACTGTTTGCAGCATTCCACAATTATTTATTTTATTTATGAGACTTATATACCGCTTTAAGTGCAAGCACTCTCTAAGCGGTGTACACCAGTAAGCAATGTATATATATATTTACATTGCCCCCAACAATCTGGGTCCTCATTTTACCTACCCCGGAAGGATGGAAGGCTGAGTCAACCTTGAGCCGGTGAGATTTGAACCGCTGACCTGCTGAACACAGTCAGCTAAAGTGGCCTGCAGTACTGCACTCTCCACTAACTCTAACTGTTTGCAGCATCCCACTGTCACATGACCATGATTTATGATGGTTTTTTTTTCCAGAATCTGCCCAGTTTTGGGCAAAAAATGCCAGAGATTCCAAATTCCAAAGATCTAGCTTTAGTAATAGATTTAAGATAGTTAAACGATCAAGGGAGGCATAGCAAGTTAAACATACCTCTGGGAGGGTGGAGATAATAACTGTGGCAAGACTTAAGAACCAGTAAGTAGACCAGTTTTTCAGAACCTCTCTGGATAAGGAGAGAATGGGAGATCACCCATCTGTTCTCTGGGTGCAGGACAGCAGTCTCCCATGGATTTCAGCACTGGGAGACAAGATCAGTAATCAAGCTCACAGCAGAGCCTTTGAAAGGGCACTGAGTTTGCTAACATCATTTCTTAATTACTTTCAGAAATGTAACCATTTAACTGATTTAACCATCCCAAAGTTTCTCTTTGTCCCATCTTATACTAAACAAAACCAAAGCTGGGTTGATTTGACTTTTTTCAGTCTCTGGATAGTGTTACTTCCAGGTCTCTCCTTAAGCTTTCCTTCCTTCCTTCCTTCCTTCCTTCCTTCCTTCCTTCCTTCCTTCCTTCCTTCCTTCCTGCCTTCCTGCCTTCCTGCCTTCCTGCCTTCCTGCCTTCCTGCCTTCCTGCCTTCCCCAGTCCGTGGACCAGTACCAGGCCGTTGCATGCCAGCAACTGGGCCACACAAACAAGCAAAGCCCCATCCATGAGATGTAGGTAGCACACAAACCATGTACCCTTTGGTCTGTGGAAAAACCTCTCTCCACTTAACCGGTCCCTGGGACCCAAAAGGTTGGGGTCCTCTGCCTTAATCATTATACAACACTGATTCTGTTGATTGCTTTTAGCGTTTAGTAATTAAAACTGGGTCATTAATATTCTACATCAAGTCAATAGTAGAATGACTTGATGTAGGAGAAGAGGCAGGGGCTGGGAGTATGTTAGCCTGAAGTTGTTACATTCCCACAAGTGAACCTAATCTACTCCCCTCTCTGAATTCCATTAACTGTTATGTAGCATGAATTTAGTGTTGACCATTAGTTGACTAGATTTTTGAGTGTAGACATGAACAATAATTCATCTTAACTGGAACTTAATGTGTGATTCCAATCCAAATGTTGCAATGCATCCTGGCTTGTTAACAGGAGTGGTACTAGGTTTCCTTGCCATCTCCAAATTATCAAAACCTAACAGATGTTTTTAATGTACTTTAATCCTTTCCTCCTAGTTATTTTATTTTATTTATTTCCTTCCTTTCCCAATTGGTCTTCAAAGCCCTATAGCTACTGAGCATTCATAGTCCTTTACTGAAGAAGTGATGATGAAGGTGATTATTCATCTAAAATTAATCATCTGTAGTTGCTATTTCTTTTAACTTTTGCAAACCTGATATAGGGATAAAGTCTTCCTCCCTCTTTGACCATTTTTTAAAAAATAAATATGCTCAGATAAATTATGCTGAACATGAGAAAAATCCTCAGGTAAATTATGCTGAATATGAGAAGATGCAGATGCAAGCAGCAGCATTAAAAGACTCAATCCAATCTCCAAACAGATAAACATTGCAATTAAAAAAATGGAAAAAGAGAGGAAAGACATTGAAGTTATGTTTTATACCAGGCATGTCAAACTGCCGGCCCGCGGGCCGGATGCATCATGACGAAACCGCACCCACCTCATTGCCAGCAATGGGGAAAAAGTCGCAATACATCGCACGACGTCACGTGACGTTGCGAGTTTGACATGACTGTTTTATACAAATAAGTCTAAACATAAGAACCATTTTGTGCTTGAAAGTCTTCTTTCTTTGCCCTTTTAACAAAACGGCAACAACAAGTGATTCAGGTACGGCCAAATCAACCACCCATTGCTGCAGATGAAGGGTTTGTGGTTATACATTATTAAAACTGTATGCTGGAGAGGAGGGACCCCGATCAACTGGTATGGTTCCTTACACAATTGGAGAATTAATCCATGGAATTTACTGCATGAGATGAAGACCATCTACTGAGTTGCTTTTTAAAGAGGATGGGACAAATTCAGGAGAAGACTGAGGCGCTATCAGTGATGGCTAATCTTGATGGCTGTTGGCCATCTGTGGAATCATAGCTGTTGGAAGGTAAACAACTATGGAAAAGAGCTCTCTCCTTTTTGGTTGTCTTTGTGTGCTCCTTGAATGCATATGGTTGACCACTGTGCAACCAAGAAATGCTAGGCTTAATGGGTTGTTGGCTTGATCCACCAGGACTCTTAAATTTCTCATGTTCTTCTCACTTGAGTGTCTTGCAATCCCATTCAATAACTGAGTTGACTTTGAAAGGGAAACCATACAGAAGCATCTGGGGTTTCTGCATCTTTCTCATTTGATGAAACAAAAAATACGGACCATAGGTACTCCTTAATTTACGATCACAATTGGGATTAGAATTTCTGTTGTTAGGCATGGTAGTTGTTAAGTGAGTCGTGCCCAGTTTTATGACCATTTTGCCACAGTTGTTAAGCTACTCACTTCAGTTGTTAAATGAATCATGCAGTTGTTAAGCGAATCTGCCTTGCCTCATTGACTTTGCTTGTCAAAAGCTGGCCGGGAAGGACACAAATAGCAATAGCTATTTTTACGGTCCTCTCTAAGCAGTTTACAGAGTCAGCATAGTGGCCCCAACAATCTGGGTCCTCATTTTACCAATCTTAGAACTATGGAAGGCTAAGTCAACCTTGAGCTGGTCAGGATCGAACTCTGGACAGAGTGCAGAGTTAGTCTGCAGTACTGCATTCCAACCACTGTGCCACCGCAGTTCATATGGTGATCATGACTCCAGGATACTGCAAACATTGTAAATACATGCTGGTTGCCAAATGCCTGAATTTTGATCACACGTCCGTGGAGATGCCATGACAGTTGTAAGTCCGAGGATTGGTTGTAAGTCACTTTTTTTAGCGTCATAACTTCAAACAGTTGCTCACGGAATGGTTGTAAGTCGAGGACTACCTATATTAGTTTGGGGAGTTTACACCCTTTGAGGGATGACTAATAGAGTGCAACATATACATTAATTAAATAATTGATTATATGCGATTAGGTTGGTGTAGCCTCTTAGTGTAGATGGGTTTTCTCCAGGACAATCTGTCCCCAGTTTGGTCCTTCAGACCTTCCAAAGGTCACCCATCACCATTCAGTGTAACCGCTTGCCTCCAGAGGTTGGGGTGCTCCATCACTGTACGTTTGTAAGAAGAGATTGGACAGCCATTTGTCTGGAACAGTATAGGTTCTCTTGCTTGAGCAAGGGCTTGGACTAGAAGACCTCCAAGGTCCCTTCCATATCTGTTATTCTATTATCTGTAACATATCATCATCATCATTTTAGCCATTGTCTATCCACTGCAGAATGAAGGCCTCTTCCGCATGTTTCCCACCAATACGGTCCTGAGCTTTCTTTTGCCAATTGGGCCCGCAATACTTGCTGATGTCATCAATCCATCTTTTTTTTTTTAGGTCTCTTTCATGGACACTTTTGATCAAGGGGGATCCATTCAATGATTGCCTTGGTCCACCTGCCATTAATTCTTCTCGCTATGTGACCAGCCCATTTCCGTTTCAATTCTTTTACTCTCTTGATGATATTGTATAGTTTTGTTTGTTCTCTAATCTGTGGGCAGGTCTTTCTATTTCGTCTTGTAATGCCGAGCGTGTATCTTTCCGTACCTCCTTGCGCCACTCGTAGCTTTTATATTGTGGGGTTAATGTCCACGTTACACATACAGAAGGGAAAATAGGCCTGTTGTCCTGTTCCGTTCTTCTGCTCTCACCTCTGAATGTGAGAGAATAACTCCCTGTTCTACCCATTTTGCAACTTCTCCCTTGCACATGATTGATCTTTCCTTCGTGATTTCAGCCTGTCAGACCACGAGGAACCTGGGTGCAATTCCTTGGCAATTCCTGGCATAACCATCGTTAGATCTCTTCAAGCATGCATGGTGTTCTTTAGGTGGAGAGAGAGAAAGATATGAGCAAACACTGCCGAGTCAATAGATAAGAGCAGATGGAGGAACCAGGGACAAGGCCTGTGTGTGCGCGACTTTGTGTATGTGTGCTCTGGGGGGGGGGGGGAGAGGAACAGGAGGGAGAGAAGGATCTCTTTTGCAATCCTGTCACCATAGAAACCCAGCTCTATATAGCTCACTCTCAGCTACTCTGGTGCTAGAAATTACCTGGAAATGGAGTTTACCTGCAGCCTTCATAGTAGGTATGATGAGCTCAATTGAAGTTTTGGTAAAAGGCCTCCTCTGCTATTATGGGTAATTGTAATGGGGCAGAGCCTTGATTCGGTGTGAAATCACAAGAATTAGAAATCCCTACCTCCCCCCTCTACAGCTTTTTTCCAAAAGTAGAGAAGTTTTGTTGGTATAACATTTTCAAAGTTTTCTCTTCTCTTCTCTTCTCTTCTCTTCTCTTCTCTTCTCTTCTCTTCTCTTCTCTTCTCTTCTCTTCTCTTCTCTTCTCTTCTCTTCCCTTCCCTTCTCCTCCCTTCCCTTCTCCTTTCCCTTCCCTCTTCTCCTTGAGATATATAAATATCTAAGCTAAACTAAGTTAAACTAAGATAGATATCTTGTTTTACAGGAAACAGGAGGCACTGAACAGCACAGATGCAACGACTCCAGAGAGACCCTTATCTCCACCCTTCACGGCCCCACCAAGTATGAAGGTAAGGGTCTATGGAATGGGTAAATTATGGTTTGTGGTGGCATGTCTTCTTCTGCCTGTTTTATCTTTCACATTATGGAGGTGGGATGGGGGCTGCATTTCTGTTAGAGCCGTTTTCCAAAGAAGGGGAAATGACTCCATCTTCTATTTGTGTCCACGCCCTCACCGAGGACTTATTTATTTAACTCAAAGATAATCTCTTGCTTCGTATGGCTCAGAGGTCCCAACCTCATATGGCAGGGAAATACGAGAAAAGCTGGTGTAGAAGAAAGGCAAACTCTTCAATAAATATTACATGGGCAAACCTATGGGCCCTGTTACAGTGCATGCTTCATTCTGGATCTGTTGAAGTTTTCAGGTAGTCTTCAAGGGCAGCTCCTTGTAGATTGCACTGCATAATGCAAGACGTGAGTGACTGTTAGCAAATGTCTCCTGGTCCAGGAAAAAGGGTTCAATTGTCGTAGGGCTCTCCAAACTTGGCAAGTTTAAGACTTGTGGACCTCCTGGTGAGACCAAAGCCAACTTTGACTCCTCCTTGAATGGCTTCACAAGTTGGAACAGAGGGTCACCCAAATTCCAGGTTTTCCAACAATGTGGATTATCCATCAAGAATACCCTATTTCTCATGCTAGGAAGCAATGACTCCATGATACAGAATTTTCAGAACTTGGATTTTAAAGAACAGGCAAGCTAATAGGGAAGCAGATGGCTTTGCTCTGGATCTAGACCAATTTAGGTTTTTAACATAAGGGCCAGCTGATGAAGAGTTGACAGCACTCAGCTTTTGTGGCCTGGGATAGCTGCCCTACTCTGTCTAATGGTAGGGCCAGACTGGCTGATACAAAGTACATTGCAATAATCTGCATCCTTTTTAGAGTTATTATTATTGAAAAGTAACTGGGACAGGAAATGTCTCTCCAGTATCATTGTGCATCTAACGTCCATTAACACAGTCCATCGTTCTCAGTAATCAGGGATGAAAGTATGTGTAGATCCCTGGAGAACAGTCCAAATTTATGGTCTAAACACCCTACTCTGAAAAACTCCAGATGGGTCACCTTAAGCTGTGCATCTTGGAATTAATAGAAGTCTACCATATAAACAATCAAATCTATTACCTTCCATTCTTAACAGTGACCAACCTGATGTTTAAGGTATGTTGCTTCTTCAGTCAAGATAACAATAGTCAGTTGTTGGGGAGGGGATTGTTTCCTAGATCTGGAGTCAGAACTTACTCCCTCTAGACATGGAGATTCCCAACATTCCTTTCATAATAGCAAACATCCTTGTTTCTAGAAAATAATCTAATCTCTTTTAAAAACCATCAGTGTTAGCAAGCCTAGTGTATTGTGGCAATGAATAACTGAGTCTGTTCTAAAATTTGGACTTTAAAATAAACTTGTTTATAAACATATAAATATATGCAGTTATTGCCTGTAATTTAGCGTTCTGGCCATAGAAACCAATGTCTTTCCCCAGTTGGTTTCCTTCCTGATAACTTCCAGGAATCATCAAGGTATTTGAATAATTTAAAGGAGGAAAGTAGATTATATAGTGAATTTCAAATTAAATCTTTCTCTTTCTCTACCTCAAAGGAGAATAGTGGTAGAAAATAGATAGATAGATAGACAGACAGACAGATAGATGAAATGCTATTTACAATAGTACCTCAGTTCTAATCATTAATTGGTTCCAGGAGATGCAGTGAGTACCAAAAATGATAAGTACCAAACAGATTGTCCCCATAAGGAATAATGTAGTGAGTCACAAAGCAGCCGACACCGACAAATTCTAACGTGTGTTGAGTACCAAACAAACCATTAGTACTGGGACAAAATTTTCACATTAAACTGTGTTGAGTACCAAATTCGATGAGTTTCAAAGCAGTTGAGTACCAAGGTTACACTGTATTACTTTATAGTAAGATCAGCCTCATCCGTATGTTCATGAGATGGGAATTAAATGTAAAAAAAAATCTGTTTATCATGTATCATGTTAGTAATCATAGAATCCCAAAATTTGTTTAGACTTTTGAGACCATTTCTAACTGCAGGTATTGAATTAGAGTAGCAGCTATACACACAAACAGAGAGAGAGAGAGAGAGAGAGAGAGAGAGAGAGAGAAATTACTTTTGTATTATGTATTATGTTGGTATCAACACTTAGCACCTAAATAGGTAGATCTTCAGGCTATGGTCTGTCCCCAGCCTGGTCCTTCATATCTTCTAATGGTGCACCCATCGCCACCCTAATCAAGTCCATCCACTTTATTGCTGATCATCTTCCCCTTCCCTTCCCTTCCCTTCCCTTCCCTTCCCTTCCACCTTTCCTAAAATCATGGACTTTTCAAGAGATTTTGATCTTCTCGCCATTTGTCCAGAATAGGATCATTTGAGCTGGGTCACTGGTATCTTGGGTGTGACAGAGCAGATAAGTAGTGGATTTAGCAGAAATTATTTTAACAACAGGATTGCATTTTGGAGAGCATCTGAGCATAAAGTCACTGGGCTCATGTATTTTTGATGGGGTCCTTTCATTTTTATTTTGTTTGAATGACAGTGGATTATATTGTTTAATGTGGAAGAGCCTTGCAAAAAAGCAACCACATATACAGGCAGTCCTCAGCTTAACGACCACAATTGAGCCCCAAATTTTTGTTACTAAGTGAGACAGTTAAGTGTATTTCTTGCCACAGCTGTTTAACTGCAGTTGTTTAGTAGCACGGTTGTCTTTGCTTGTCAGAAGGTTGCAAAAAAGTGATCACTGGACACTGCAACCGTCCTAAATCTGAGCCGGTTGCCCAGTGACTGAATTTTGATCATGTGAATGTGGGGATGCTGCAACGGTCGTAAGTCATAAGTCTTTTTCAGTGCTGTTGTAACTCTGAGTTGTCACTGAATGAACTGTTGTAACTCAAGGACTACCTGTAATGTGGGAAGTGGATAAACCAAGCCACCGTCTTCAAAATATCACTTCCCCTCCTTTCCAATGCAAATTGATCAGGCCTCTAGTAGAACTGACCGGTTGACTGGGTGTTTGTGTGTGTGTGATTGTAGACAACGAGGTCTGAAATATTTCCAGCTCCTCCCCCCCCCCGCCCCCCAGACTTTAGAAACAATCACGAGATAGTATTGTCTGCCCAAGACTACACAGAACATTTCATGTTGCTTCTGGGGAAGAAGAGATACTGCTGTTCCCTAGCAACTGGAAATACCCCACGCTGTCACCGAGCCCTGATTGAAAATAGGGTTACCATCTGTCTGTTTTTTTCTCAGCTCCATATGGGAAGCTGAAGCTCCTTGCTTGGTGTCTGCATCCAGATGTTTAGACTAGCTTCCCACTTATTTATTTATTTGCTCGGCCTGTTTTTCTGAGTTCCCGATGCCATTTGCAAAGCTAACGCCAAATCCAAAGAAACCATCCCCAGGGATAATCCATAAATCTACGTATTTATACTCGCCGGACACATTTCCAGCAAAGAGACCGTGCTTAGCGTCCTTTGTACACTAAGGCAGTCGAGAGACAATAAGCATAAATATGTAATATGACATTAACTCGATTATATCTCATTTGAAAGGCTGTATCAACATCGGAACAAGCGTAAAAGAAACCAGCCAGTCAGTTAACAATATCCAGTGGCAGTCAAATTGTAGTCCCTTAATGTATTTTGCTTAAAATTTCATTTCAAGAGTTTTCTGAGCCAGACCAAATAGGCAAGAATAGAAAAATGAAAAATAACCACGAGGCATATCAACAGTCTTCTTTGAGAAGAGAACTGGATATCTATTATACTGCTTATTCTTTTTCCTCCAACTTTTCTATTCTCCTTTGCTGCAGAGAAGGAGAAGTTTTATTTGACATATTTTTTTGGAAAGGCCAAGAGGATTGCAGAGCCTTTTTCATGAAGGGAGGGTGATGTCAGATTCTTCCTCTGTCATCTGCAGTCTTCTTTTATCCCAGTGTTTCTCAAGGTTAGCAACTTGAAAGTTTCATTCAGAATAGAACTGGAAGGGACCTGGGAGATCTTCTAGTCCAACCCCCTGCTCAAACAGGAGACCTACCATTTCAGACAAATAGTTGTCCAGTCTCTTCTTAAAAAACCTCCAGTGATGGAGCACCCACAACTTCTGAAGGCAAGCTTTTCCACTGGTTAATTGTCCATACTGTTAGAAAACTTCTTCTTAGTTCCAGGTGTGCGATCTTCAACTTCCAGAATTCCATGATTGGTTGGGGAATTCTGGGAATTGAAGTCCACACACCTTCAAGTTGCAAAGTTTGAAAAGCAGTGTTTTATCCCTTTCCTGCAGTTTATGAACCTGCTATAAACTCTGTTTAGAGCAGTGTTTCTCAACCTTGACAATTTTAAGGCATGTGGACTTCAACTCCCAGAATTCCACAGCCAGAAATGCTGGCTGTGGAATTCTGGGAGTTGAAGTCCACATGCCTTAAAATTGTCAAGGTTGAGAAACACTGGTTTAGAGGATCCCCACCAGTACTGGCCTTCTAAAGCTCTTAAAATATAGTTTTGTCATCATACCTGGGGTTCATTGGTGGTATTAAATTTATTGGTTGGTTGAGAATCATAATAGAGCTGGAAAGGACCTTGGAGGTCTTCTAGTCCAGCCCCCTGCTCAAGCAAGAGAACCAAAACCATTTCAGACAAGTGACTGTCTAGCCTCTTCTTAAAAACCTCCAGTGATGAAGTAACTACAACTTCTGATTAACTTTTGGTTAATTATCCTCACTGTTAAGAAGTTTCTTCTTAATTTCAGGTTGCTTCTCTCCTTGATTAATTTCCATCCTTTGCTTCTTGTCTTGCCTTCTGGTGCTTTGGAAAATAAGTTGACCCCCTCCTCTTTGTGGCAGCCCCTCAAATACTGGAATACTGCTATCATTGTCCCCCCTCATCCTTCTTTTCTCTAGACTGGCCGTACCCAATTCCTGCAACCGTTCCTCATATGTTTTAGTCTCCAGGCCTTTAATAATCTTAGTTGCTCTTCT